AGTTTTTTAATCTATGGTTTTGCTATGATGGTAGACATCATCAAAGACATTTTGTGTACATGTATACGTACTGCATGTATAAACATATTTTGAATTTCCATTTAAATTGTTTTCCGTGGCGTTCATTACTTTTTTGGAAGCAATTCTTTTCTTTCCTAATAACACTAAAATGGATGTTCAAACTTAGAAATGGAATTGAATATACATGCATTATGCCCCCCCCCCCCCCTCCGCATCACGCACTCTGCATTGCCTCAACATGCACAAATGAAAACTGTTATTTAATAATATTTAAAAACAATCTAACAAAAAGTCTACCTTCCTTTTATTCATCATAATCTATATAATTTTTATAGAATTTAACGTGATCTAAGTTGCCATAATTGGTGGCTTTTGTTCATTTACCGGTATAAGATGAAATTTCTCTGATGTCTGCGCCGAAGAGAATTTATTGGAGATCATTGTAATGATCACGAAGCAGAATTAAAAAAAATATTCTATGCTTTATCATTTATTATGTACAGTACAGTATATTGTCAGTCCGTGCAATTATGGTGAGCAGACTTTAAGGATTGAACGCACCCGGCGAATTGTAAACATCAACAATAACAGAGCTCTCGCCTTTATTACAAAAACTGTCTACGTTTCACAGGTGTGTTCAATTAGCCCGATGTTTATTCGTATAGTATTAATTATAATATAGGGCTAAAAACTGGAGGGCCGTATCTCAAAAACTAGAGATGGCACCATCACCATTTTTTTCACAGAAGTGGTAACTGAACACTGGTACGCTGTCCTGAAAATTTAAGATTCCGGGGTAGGGGACTTCGATGTTCCCAAGTCTGATGTTTATTTATATAATATCATATAATAGGGCTAAAAACTGGAGGGTCATATCTCAGAGACTAGAGATGGTACCATCACCATTTTTAGCTCACCTCAACAAAGTTGGGGGAGCTTATGTAATACCCTCGGCGTCGGCGTCGGTGTCGATGTCCCAGGTTAAGTTTTTTGGAGCAGTTTTCTTTTTAATTACTTCTATGACCTATATTGATTAGACATGCATGGAAGATGCTTCTAGTGTGTTTCATTGTACCAGTCAAAGTTTCAGATGCTACAATTTCAGCAAAGGAATGGCCAGGTTAATGTTTTTGGAGCAGGTTAACAGTTTTGGTGCAGTTTTTGGTGTAAGTCTCATTTCTAAGGAACTATAAGCCCTATGTTGACCAAACTTGCCTGGATGATACATCTAAGGATGTACACCACCGGGCTTGCTTCGGATGCTGAATCTGACCTACATTTTCCGATTGAGTGAACAGGTTAATGTTTTTGTTGCAGGTCTCATTTCCAAGAAACTATAAGCCCTATGTTGACCAAACTTGCATGGATGATATTTTTCAGGATGCACACTACCAGGCTTGCTTCGGATGCTGAATCTGACCTACATTTTCCGGTTGAGTGAACAGGTTAAAGTTTTTGGTGCATGTCTCATTTCGTTTCATTTCAATGATACTATGAGCACTATAATGACCAAACGTGCATGGATGATACATCCAAGGATGCATACTACCAGGCTTGCTTCGGAAGCTTAATCTGACCTACATTTTCCGGTTGAGTGAACAGGTTAATGTTTTAGGCGCAGGTTTCATTTTCAAGATCCCATGAGCCCTATAATGACCAAACTTGCATGGATGGTACATCTAAGGATGCATAGACTTACTTCGGATGCTTGATCTGACCTACATTTTCCAGATGAGTGAACAGGTTAAAGTTTTCAGGTTAAAGTTTTTGGTGCAGGTTTCATTTCCAAGTAACTATAAGCCCTTTGTTGACCAAACTTGCATGGATGGTACATCTAAGGATGCACACTACCAGACTTGCTTCGGATGCTGAATCTGACCTTCATTTTCTGGTTGAGTGAACAGTTTAAAGTTTTTGATGCAGGTTTGATTTCCAAGTAACTATGAGCCCTATAATGAGCAAACTTGCATGGATGATACATCTTAGGACACACTAACGGACTTGCTTCGGATGCTGAATTCGACATACATTTTTCAGATAATGGACCAGGTAAAAGTTATGGGTGCAGGTCTTTTACCAAAAAGCTATAAGGCTTATATAACATTGTATAAACCAAACTTGCACAAATATGATGCATCAAGGGCTGAAAACTCAAATTTGCCCCAGATGTTGGATTTTAATTACATTTTCAAGAAGAAGAACCAGTTTGAATTTTTTTTATATACAGTCAAACCTGTATTAGGAGACCTTCCAACGGAGAAAGGAAAAAAGGTCACATATGACAGGTGGTCTTTTTGCTTATTTTCCGCAGTGTTCAAATATACAATGCCAAAAATATCACATGTGTATGTTGAATATATTTCATAACACTTTCTGTTAATTTTCACTTTTTAATAGGCACTGCTCAAATCTAAAATACTTTTACAATTATTGTCCTGTATCATCCCATTGTATATATTTTGTGCAATAAAATATGTTCAAATCGAATCATGTGATTATTGGGAAATATTGTGAACAGCTGAAAATATTAATAATTGTATAAAAGAGCTGCTTTTTTTCTAATAATAATTTTTTATAACATAGCTAGCCTATATATAACTTCGTATATGCATATTCCTAAGAATTTTCATGATTTTTGTTATGCATTTGGTATCAAATTATTTTTATGACTAAAATATTTTTTTAACCTAATTGATTTTATTTTCATTTGTGTGCCTAATTGCTTGTTTGTGACCCGGTACTAGTATTTCAGTCACCTTATCACCTGGTGTGGGTGCTAGCTAGCGTGTGTTTACATACCCATTGGTGACACAAGCACTTATATAAACATCTAACAGTTCAGTTTTTATAGGTTGGAGGTGAGCTGTGTCTATTTTAATCTCTGGACAGAAAAACGTGATGTTTGTGTTTTAGATTTTAATGTTTATTCAATAAATATCAAAGTGTAAGTAAATATATTTATTTATTTATATTGTTTTATTAATAAAACTTGCATTATATGATTATTAATTTAAATAAAAGCGTGTCTGTAGTTGTGAACCAAAAACGTAGCAGTGAAATTGAAAGTAGGAATCAGAAATTATGTTCGTTAGATTCAGGTAAAATTGCTTGAAATTTCATAAAATGGTCAGAAAAATCACGGTCGTTGGTCGCGTAAGACAGGTGGTCATTTAATACAGGTAGATTATATAGAGAAAAGCATTGGGGGGATTTTTACGGTCACATGAGTCGCTTAATACATATATAGGTCTATTTCAATGTATCAGATCAAAATTGCATGAATATTTTCATTTTTGGAATGTAGGGCTAATCTCTGAAAACTGGCAGTTGGCGATGTTTATTTATATATTACCATATCTCAGAAACTAGATATGGTACCATCACCATTTTTTCACTGAAGTGTAGGGCATTTCGTTGTCCCCATGCCCGATGTTTATTTATATATTATCATGTAATACAGAGCTCCAGATAAGGTGCGTATTTGCAGAAATACGCATTAAAGTTTACAAAATACGCATTGAAAATTAAAATAGAGCGTACAATTACGCATTAGCAATCATAGATACGCATTACACCACGAAAGTACTGCGAACAACAAGTTGAAAAATACAGGTACGACTTACTTAATGATACGAATTGAGGTTAACTCAGTGTTTGATTTTTCTCAAAACGAAGTACAGATTCAAAAGCCTCTTGGTGACCAGGAATATTCTAGAAATGACGACGACGATCTCCATTTCGGGAGGAAGAATTGGAGATTTAGATAAAAATCAATTTCTATGTAGATCGAACACTATGCACTTGGCATAACTTTTTTTTATTATGAGTTCTTAGCCAATTTTTCATCTCTCTCAACTTGCCATATTGACGAAGTTTCTTTTCTCTTGGTGTACTCTTGATACGATATCTTAAGAAAAAGTTTTCGGTGTCTCTGATTCTCTGGTACCATGACCTACTGTATAATCTTCCTTGTCAGAAAAGAATGCTTCCCAATCTTAGCAAAAAGTCTTGTTAGTATTTGCAATTTTATTAAAAATAAATGCAGAACCCGACCTTTGAAGTTCTTTCCAGACCCTCTTCAAAAACACATACTTCGATTACAAGCTCAAATTCAAAATAAAGGTTAAAACATTATACTAGTAAACAAATTACTCTTCAATCATTTTGCTGAAAATCAAAATCTGCATTGATTTGAAAATCAGGGAGTAAATACACTTTGGGGTAAAAAATTATCTGGAGCTCTGGTAATATGGCTAAAAACTGGAGGGCCATATCTCAGAAACTAGAGATGGTACCATCACCATTTTTGCACAGAAGTGGTAACTGACCACTAGTATCTGTCTTGAAAATTTCAGACACCGGGGTAGGTGGCTTCAATGTCCCCGAGCCCGATATTTATTTATATAGTATCATGTAATAGGGCTAAAAACGGGAGGGTCATATCTCAGAAACTGGAGATGGTACCATCACCATTTTTTCACTGAATAGGTAACTGACCACTAGTACCCTGTCCTGAAAATTTCAGACACCGGGATAGGGGACTTCGATGTCCCCGAGCCCGATATTTATTTATATAGTATTATATAATAGTGCTAAAAACTGGAGGGCCATATCTCAGAAATTAGAGATGGTACCATCACCATTTTTTCACTGAAGTGGAAACTGAGCACTAGTACCCTGTCCTGAAAATTTAAGATCCTGGGGTAGGGGACTTCGATGTTCCCGAGGCCGATGTTTATTTATATAGTATTATATAATAGGGCTAAAAATTGGAGGGCCATATCTCAGAAATTAAGAGATAGTACCATCACTATTTTTTCTCTGAAGTGTTAACTGACAACTAGTACCCTGTCCCGAAAATTTAAATCAAAGTTTGGAATTAACAAAAAAAGAAACAATTGGTGAAATCAAAACCAGATTAATATTTCACCTTAAAATAAAATGAAAAATATATACCCAGTACTTAATTCCATTTTCAGATACTATATCCAGTTACTGTATGATGCATTCTACTGGATCTTTTCCTAACCCGGAGAATTGTGCCCAGTTTTATGACTGCAGTACAAGAGACTCAGAGTATGGACTTTACTTAAAAGAATGTCAGTATCCGCAGCTGTACGAAATTGAGACAGACACATGTCAACATTTCAGCAGGGTTAATTGTGGTTCCCGATATGAGCCAATCGAACCATGTAAGTCAAAATATAATTATAAATGACATCAGGGAAGATTGGTGTGCTGCAAAATTATTTTTTGAATATAAAAACCCACTTAGTTTAATTTAAAAAAAAACAACATATTTCCATAAAGTTTATACAGAGTTACTATCTAATGAATGAACATGTATGTGTATGATCCTACATGTACAGTGTAGGTTCATAATTGTTAAATCATATATGAAATGTTGCTTGAATGCTAATGATTTTTCAAAAAAATGTATTTCACAAGTTTAAAAAATATATACCAGAGTTTACAAAAAAAATGATATGAAAAGGACATGGCAAATTTATGAAGGAATAAAAGAGGTTGATGCCATTCAGAATTATCTCTGTTAACAAAATAACTGAAAATAAACACTGAAAATTGATGAAGGTCACTAAGAAGACTAGTATATTTACTGTCCATAAAATCACTACCTTTAAAGTAGTTTTACTAGCTATTGGGTAGATTTACTAGGTAACATTAGTATATTTAGAATTTATAAGTAACTTTCACTAGGTTAGTAGGTATTTATAGGACCCTGCTCCACGTGAACGTGACACATATTACTCACTATCTTAGCTAGTAAACAGAATGATCACTATTCACGACGAAAGTTTTTCTAGGCAAACGTGTATATTAACTAGGTATTTCTTTCAGTGTAGTGAATTAAATATGTGATCCTTTGTCATCTTAAATTTTTAAAAAGCTGCAATTATTTTATTTTATATGTTTATGAGGAATTCTCATGCTGCAATCTTCAGGTTGACATTTAGATTATATCAATAACATTTTATGAATCAACAATGTTCATTTTCATCATATTTCTGCATACTTTCAGGTGAGTACATTCAAAGTCAATGTATAGGAGCTGGCTGTCCAGCATGTTCAAAGGTGAGTTGTCGCGCTCATCCTGATGGAGCCAATGAATACCCTGGCCGGGAACACACTCCTTGGTATGTGGTATGTGAGCATGGTAGAACAGTGGCTGTGGAGCAGTGCCATGTGGGGATTTTTGATCAGCAATCACACATGTGTTTAACCAATACTGGTAAATAATTTTTACAATTTACCTGAAACTATAGGTTCTCTAGTGTTGGAAAAAAATTATAAATGTCAATGAATACATTGGTGTAAATGTTCAATGGATTAGCTATCTGATGTTCTTTCAACACATACACATGTACATGTAATTGTACCCTGAAAAGTGCCACTGTTATTATTAATCTTTAGCTGAAATTCAAAAATTCAGTTTACCCCCTGAAGTTATTGTATAGTTTCATAGCTTTTAAAGCCAGCAGCAAATTCTGTTCATACGTTCCATATTTTAGAGGTGCATTGGATTAAAACTGTTTCATAATGTAGGATAAAACTTCTATATTATTGAGTTGAATTTATTTTTGATGAAGCCATGCAAACAATGTAGAATTCTTAAGGAACAAAAAAAATAATTTGTCAGAAAGGGAGTCATTACAGATGTACACTTTGATTTTTTATTGTTAAGTATTTATTTTTACCTTTGATATTGTGATGATGCAATCGTCTGTCAAAATCAGCTTTAGGATCAATCGCCAGTGTTATCAGCTTTGGGCTTTCTGGTCTTAAGGTATCCGATCAAAAGCCTCAGATTCAATGAATTGATATGCACAAGATATATATTTGCTGAATACTCAGTATATGTAGTAACAATATTTATGATTTAGTCTCAATATCTAAGAGCGGAATGTGTCCTGATTTTGACCTCAATAAAATTGATTTTTTAAAAAACTCTCTGGTGAAAAATTATTTTTTAATCGTTTTTCTATTGTTAATAATTATATACATCTTTCCACCATAGCATTTTTTGATATTCGTAGTATTTAAATTTTTGTTTTAAAAAATAGCTTTTTGCCATGGAGCTCAATTCATTCTTAATTAAGTATTTACTGCTCGAGTAATTAAATTTTTGAAAATTTCTCCTGGTAAATCCTTTTCTACTATAAACTGCTTTGAATTAGTTTCAGAGTATTTAATATAGGATGAATATTGAAGGTTAGAAAATAGATAGTTTTCGATGGACCTAAATTTAGCAAAAGTCTTTAAAAATTGTTAGGAGATTACTTACTTTTCCAACACCCAGCACTTCTGCTGCAGCAATGACGTCAAACATGACGTACACTTTCATCCGATAGAAGTCAAAACAGGTCCGGAAGAAAATACGGAATTATTTTGATTTTACTCAAGTAATAAGCCAAACCCAAAAGATTTGAAATAAAAAGCAAAATAATTTATTTTTTATCAATTTTGTCTGGGAAATGCATTATTACAGGAAAAAAATTGTGAAAGGTTTTTTTATAAGGGAAAGGGGGGGGGGGTAAACAGAGAAGAACTTTACCTAAGTAATTGCTAACAAATTCTCTTGAATTAATGTACATTTAAATTACTATTGATATATATTATTGAAATTGAAATTTTACTTGAGTATACCAAGGGCAAATTTGTCAACACTGTTTCATATGTATCTCATATGATCACCGTTTCATATGATTCTCATATGATCACTGTCAAAATATTCATATAATTCTTATATGAATGACTTTTCCTATGTGAATCATATGTATATTACTTAATATGATTCACATATGTGTGATCATTCGATCCACATATGATTTGCTATATATGATTCTCATATGATTGTATATACATATGATTCTCATATGATCCACATATGATCCTGAAAGGCAATGCATATGTGGATTATATGTGGCTAAATTGCTTATGCATGCATCAAAATTTTGTGTTATGTATCCTTAATAGGTTAATCATTCGCAATTCGGCCAATCGTCGCCCAATTATCGAGCTTTGATCTACAATTTGATTTTAACCGTCGGCCGAAATTTTAGGTGAAGGGGGTTCAAGTTTGTTCAAATGAAGGGCCACGCCCTCTTCCAAGGAGAGATAATTATGAATTTTTGAAAAATTAATGGCATTTAAAAAAAATCTTCTTCTCAAGAACCACTGGGCCAGGAAAGATAAAACTCATGTGGAATCATTTTCAGGTAGTGTAGATTCAAGTTTGTTCAAATCGTAACCCCCGGGGCAAGGGTGTCCAGAGCCAAAATGTCCGATCAAAGTTTTACGTAGGAATATATAGGAAAAAGCTTTAAAAATCTTCTTTTCAAGAACCATTGGGACAGAAAAGATGAAACTCATGTTGAATAATCCTCAGATAGTGTACATTCAGATTTGTTCAAATCATGACCCCCGGGGGTTGGGTGGGACCAGAATGGCCGATCCAAGTTCTACATAGGAATATTCAGGAAAATCTTTAAAAATCCTCTTCTCCAGAACCACTGGGCCAGGAAAGATGAAACTCATGTGGAATCATCCTCAGGTAGTGTAGATTCAAATTTGTTCAAATTATGTCCCCCGGAGGTAGAGTGGGGCCACAATGGCCGATCAAAGATTTACGTAGGAATATATAGGAAAAATCTTCTCAAGATTCATAGGGACAGAAAAAATTAAACTCATGTTAAATCATTCTCAGGTAGTGTACATTCAAGTTTGTTCAAATCATGACCCTTGGTGTAGGGTGGGGCCACAATGACCGATCAAAATTTTACATAGAAATATATAGGGAAAATCTTTAAAAACCTTCTTCTCAAGATTCATAGGGACAGGAAAAATGAAACTCATGCTGAATCATTCTCAGGTAGTGTACTTTCAAGTTTATTCAAATCATGACCCCCGAAGTTAGGGTGGGGTCACAATCTCCGATGAAAGTTTTACATCGGAATATTTAGGGAAATCTTTTAAAAAAATCTTCTCAAGTACTGTAAAGCCATGATCAGTGATATTTGTATGGAAGCATCCTCAGGTAGTGTAGATTCTAGTTTGTTCAAATCATAACCCATAAGGATAGGGTTGGGTCACAATGAGGGATCCAAGTTTTACATTAAGATATATTTTAAAAAATCTTCTCAAGAATAGCAAAGCCATGATTAGTGATATTTATATGGAAGCATCTAGGGTAGTGTAAAATTGAATTTGTTCAAATCATAACCCCCAAGGGTAGGGAAGGGTCTCAATGGTTGATCAACGTTTTACAAAGGAAAATAAAGGGTGGAAATCCCAATAACAGAAAAACTATGTTTAGTCATATTGACATGTAAGCGTCCTCATGTATTGGAGATCTAAATTTGTTCAAATCATGTGTGCCCTTTGGGGTAGGGAGGGAAACAATGGGGAGTCAAATTCAAATTATTGTGACGTTATATATACAAACAAAATGTTTAAAAAATCCTTTTCTCAAGAAATTTCTCAAGAAGTTATATGCAGTATTGATATGGGGTTATTCTTAAGTAGTATTAGAATTCAATCCCCCTCCACACTCCCTCAGTAAACTTTTCAATTCTGATCTGATTTGTGCTTTTTTCCTAGCCTATGTGCTCAATTGAGCGATTTGGCCCTTCGGCCTCTTGTTCAAGAATGTGCCTCTTTGAAACAAAAATCGGAAATGGCAGTTTTTAAGAAAACCCCTGCCTCTTTGTGCATATATCAAAATTATTTTGTTTCAAGGAGGTAATTTTTCAGAATAATTGGGATTCCCTACCTAAAAAATAAATCTGATATATTTTGTTGTAAGACAAATTTAAACTTCATTTTATGGCAAAGTGGAAGTCAATACGCAGGCTTTCAAATATTGTTCCTAATTGTGCTTTATATACTGTTGCATTTGAGTAAAATTGATATCAGTTTCTGTAATATAATATTCTTCTTTTAATCTGCAACACATTTAGGGAAAATAACAAAAGAACTGCAACATCCTCTTTTGGCGTAACTTACTTTGTTGAACAAACTTAAGCCCAAATCTTTGACTTTTTGAGAAACGAGCTCCTTATGTTTTATAGGTCCGTGTCTGATCTGTTTCTAAATATGTAATGTTTAATGGACTTTTGAGCTTGTTATATCCATATATTTCATACTAATGAATAGAACCAATAAAAGTAAACAAGTGAAAAGTGATTTCATTTGGATTTTTTTCTCAAGAGTGGGAAGCTCTCAAGCCACATATAACCACGTGATTCAGTTGTTCAGTAATCAAACCCAATTCAACACAGCACTATTTATGTCTTAGTGCGATCAGGTCTATAAACAGCAAACGGTTTTACAGAAGTATATTAATTTTTTATTTGATTTTTAGACTCTGTGAATAACTACTGCAACAATAACCCTGGACTGATTCTACCAAGTTATCAGAGCTGTGCTCAGTTTTATAAGTGTGGTCAATATAACAGCAAGACTGGGACCTATCTACATGAGTGTGCTTATCCCTTGCTATATGACATTACCTCCAAGACTTGTCAGCACTTCACTTTAATCAACTGTGGAGAGAGAAGAGTTCCACAAGCTCCATGTTGGTACCTTTTATTCTTTTTAATCTTATATTGTTTACTTAATTTACTTTTTGATGGGACACATATTCTGGTTTCTTATCCGCAACTCCTCCTATATCACTGAAGAAAATTTGTTGATACTTTTACATATTCTTCATTTCATAATGCCATTATGACCTCCTATTTAACTTCGTTTTATCCGACATTTATTACGGGTCTCCCAGTGCAAAACATGGACTTTGCCGTGATACATGTAACCACTGGTAACCAATGAGTGAAAAATCCTCGAGATGGACGTTCAACAACGTACAATCAATCCAGTTTTCGTCTGATTTCAGTATTACTGCACACAAGAATGCAACACTAAGATACATATACATATAAGTAATATAGTACAATCTTGGTGTCAATTCCATAATATTTCCATTTCTAATATTTTTTCTGTGATAACTCTTTGAAAGTTAGCAGAGTTGATTTCTTGATAATTCTACCGGAATGTAAATTAGGCAGGTCGATAGGTCAATAGCAAAGGAGGCATAATACGCATGCAAATCTCGTGCGCGCCTGTCTCTGTGTCTAACGCTGGCCTCCAAATATGCATGCAAATCTCGTGCGGCTGTCTTTGTGTTTGACGTCAAAGTGCGAATGCTATTGAAATTGGCATTGGAGTTTTCGTGTAATTTGAATCTCTATCTGTATCTATAAAGTCTAAATCTACAATTTTGTTTCACAATGAAAAGGAAATATAAGGAATCACTGTCTAGTTAGGAGGGTATGTCAGGGACATCAACAATAGTGGGAAACATGGGATAATTTAAGCATAACGGGCTTCGCCCGTTATGCAAATTATTCCATGTTTTCCACTATCGTTGATGCCCTGGCATACTCTACTCACTAGACAGTGTAATAAATTGCACTACCATTACTTCATTTATTTAGGCAATAAAGAGGGTGTTGCAGAAACTCGCGATTATTCCCTTTATATCGAGAATTTGTCTAAATATAGATACAGCTACGTAGAGGACTGTGTTTACGGCGGGTATTCCCTGCTTGATACAGCAAAACACTTTCGTCATTTTGCACGAAAAAGGTTGGAACAACAAAAAGCATAATGGCTAAAGCAGCCTTTTGAAAGATATACTGTAGACATTGAGAGAATATTTTTCGTGAAATAAAATTGCGTCCCAAAATCACACTGTTTGTGCTACACCCAAGACATTTCATTTGTTTCAAATCAAATCTTGGCTACTAAGAGACCATAATTATTCAAAATTGCAATAACATGAATAACTACAGTATGTAAAAAATAAATTATTTAAACAATACAGTAACTTTATTTTCCAAGATAAAACTAAATATAGTTTTAAGTCACAGCATATTTTATCCTGCATATAGTTATTACTTAATTAACTTCTTGACATTCTCTCTCTTTAAAAAAATATATAATTTTATTGCACTATACCATTACATACGGAAAAAAATTAGAAGAAAAAAATATATGCAAAAATGATCCATTCCAGGACTCGAGCCCATACGCTGGTAAATGTATGAGTTGTTAACCAACCAGCATATCCACTAGACCATTTCGGACATGATGGTTTTCCAGCGTTATTTAATGTACACACTTTGTATTTCGTTTGAGGAATTATTTTTATTCAATGTTTGCGTTTTTCAAAAATGTGCCTCTTTGAAACAAAAATCGGAAATGGCAGTTTTGAAGAAAATTCCTGCCTCTTTGTGTATACATCAAAATTATTTTGTTTCAAGGAGGCACTTTTTCAGAACAATGGGGATTCCCTATTCAAAAAAGAAAATCTGATATATTTTGCCGTGAGACTAATTTTCACATCATTTTATGGCAAATTGGAAGTCAATACGCAGCTTCCAAATATTGTTTCTCGTTGTGCTTTATATATTGATGCATTTGAAAAAAATTAATATGAGTTTCTGCAACATAAAAATTCTTCTTTTAATCTGCTACACATTTAGGGAATATAACAAAAGAACTGCAACACCCTCTTAAAGAGGGTGTTGCAGAAACTCGCGATTATTCCCTATATATCGAGAAGAACATTTAAATACCTTCGTTGTGTCTAAATATAGATACAGTTACGTAGAGGACTATGTTTACGGCGGGTATTTCCTGCTTGATACAGCAAAAACACTTTCGTCATTTTGCACAAAAAAGGTTGGAACAACAAAAGGCACAATGGCTAAAGCAGCATTTTGAAAGATATACTGTAGACATCGTGCGAAAATATTTTTCATGAAATAAAACTGCGTCCCATAATCACACTGTTGGTGCCTCATCTAAGACATTTCATTTGTTTCAAATCAAATCTTGGCTACTAACAAAGAGACCAGAATTATTCAAAACTGCAATAACTACAGTATGTAAAAAAAATTTAAGTCATGGCATATCAAGGGAAACAATTTAATCAATCCTGCATTTCTAATATATAGTTATTACTCGATTAACTTCTTGACATTCTCTCTTTCTCTCTTCCCTCTCTCTCTCTCTTTCAAAATATATATAATTTCATTGCACTACCATTACATATGAAAAAAAAGAAGAAAGAAAAATATGCAAAAATGATCCATTCCAGGGTTCGAACCCTTTCTCTGATAAAAGTACTAGATTGAAGCCCACTAGCATATCCACTACACCATTTCGGACATGATGATTTTCAGTGTTGTTTAATGTACACATTTTGCATTTTGTTTGGATAATAATTTTTATTCAATTTTTTCGTTTTTCAAAAATGTGCCTCTTTGAAACAAAAAACGGAAATGGCAGTTTTGAAGAAAATTCCTGCCTCTTTTTGTATACATCAAAATTATTTTGTTTCACGGAGGCACTTTTTCAGAACAATGGGGATTCCGTATTTAAAAAACGGAAAATTTGATATATTTTGCCGTGAGACTAATTTTTACATCGTTTAATGGCAAATTGGAAGTCAATATGCAGCTTCCAAATACGTTTCTCGTTCTGCTTTATATATTGTTGCATTTGAAAAAAATTAATATGAGTTTCTGCAACATAAAAATTCTTCTTTTACGTACTCTTCTACACATTTAGGGAAAATAACAAAAGAACTGCAACACCATCTTTTCTCTGGTTTACACCCCAATCGTCAAAGTCGAAAACTTTCTATAAAAATCAGCTTCTTGATTGTGTTCTCTGAGAACCCGTTCTAAAGATAATTGTATATTCTTCAAAAGACACATGGAATAAATAGAGAAGGCTAATTTTTGCAATTCATCTTTCATGCTACCTGTTTGTGTAATTTTAATTACATTTTTATTATCTGAATATAACTTTACAAATTTATTGCGCAGAACATGACTAAAGATCTTGATGAAAAGAAAAACTGTTTTTATTCTCTGTATGCAGAACCTTGTGTTTTTCAAATCGTCTCACTTTTCGTGAAAAAACTCTTTGTTTGAATCCAGCATTACACCCGCTCCATGGCGAAATCGCTTGTATCAGTTAAAACTATTCGGTATGTTCGAATAAGCGACAAAAGTAACACTAGTTACTATATATATAGTTGTAAATATTAAAACAAGACACAAGGCATCTTCGACACAGGTGATCAACCCGTGTTACGCGAGTATACTCCTCAGTTTACCTGGAGTAACAGGTGGAAAAAATGGCGGGAAGTGAAAACCTTTTCTGCATACATGCAAATGTCATTATTGGTATTAGGATTTATATACTGAAACTCAAGAAAAACGCAACACCCTTATTTAAGGGGGAAATAATATATGGGTTGTAACTACAATGTATGTAGCAAAAAAGTTAGAACATCTTTCACTTTGCCAAATCAGTCATTAAAGGTTGAATGATTTTCATTCCATTACCGGAAGTTTATTTTTAGCCCTCTTAAAAGAAATCAAAAACTTGCATCTTCATCAAATATTTGATAATATTTTGAGTTTTCCAGGTTTTGTAGCTGTTAATCATAAGTTTTGTACTAAAATTCCGAAAAAATATCCTTCTTTTTTTACATTTCCGAGAAAAATAGCCTTCTTTGTTTTTCGAATGTGATACTCATATTTCCTCAAAGCACGCATTTTCATTAATTTTCAAAATAAAGAAAAAGGAGAGCTGCAGATGCAAATATACACTACATAACGACTTTTCAGGCTAATGTGTTTCAAAAGCATGAGTGACAGTTCCTTGACCGAAGTCAAAGAGTTACTACACTACGCCAAGTTAGAGAAAATTTGACCGAAGTATCTGAGAAACAGGCACCTAAAATGACCCAGAATATTTTTTTTTTCGTTCCGATTAAGACATTAAGGTGGAATATCCCTCTGATAAGAGAGATAACTCTTCTGATAAGAGAGATAACTTTCTGTAGACATTTTTTCATGGAATTCAATGAATTGCCATGCCAGATTTTACACATGTCATTCATAAGGACCATTTTAAAGTCAACTCAATCGAATCAGTTTTATTGCACAGATGTTGATTTATAGTTTCTATTGCAAGTATTTTTATTAATTATTTATAATAGTTTAACTAAAAAATTTATACCCAGTTCCTTTAAACGGTGTATATTGAGATATTTCTATCTCTTAACGTATAAGTCTTTTAATTGTACAGAAATTTCAGATGCAGAATTGTTTATCAACATTTAATTGATATTTTGTTTCATTAAAAATATTTTCAAGGGCGATACTGGAAAGATAATTCTTGTTGATGGACGAGTGTTATTTTACATGCACAGAAACAATTTGATATTCTGATTTAAAAAGCAACGCTTCAGTATGTTATCTTATGAGAATTAGATAGGTATGAGAGTAAATATTATTTTCATATATACTTCATATTTTTACTTTAATTGTGAGATAAAAATAATTGATCATTCTATTTACCTTATCAAATTTTCTTCACATCATGATTTGACATATTTATTTCTGAAAAAAATAAGCAACGCTTCATACTTCATACTATTTTCCACTTGATTCTAATGCTTTAGTTATTGATGAAAATCAATGTTTGGAATTTAGA